GTAGTGTATAGTGTAGTGTATAATAGTTTAGTGTATAGCGTAGTGTATGGTCTTGTATAGTGGAGTGTATAGTAGTGTATAGCGTAGTATGCTGTATTGGCTAGCGTCGTGTATAGTAGTCTTTAGTGTCATGTATAGTGTAGTGTATATCAATGTATTGTGTAGTGTATAGTAGTGTATAGTGTATTTTATAGCGTAGTGTATAGCGGAGAGTATAATAGTGTATAGTAGTAGTGTAGTGTATAGTAGTGTATAGAATGAACGTTGACGTTTATAAGGGGCATGGGGGTGACCAATTAGATCTGAATTTGTCTGTCATCAGGTAGGGCACTGATTAAGAAGTTGACAGCTATGAGGATGTCGAGTGCGGGGCTGAAGCTGAGTGAGCGAAGGTGACTGTCCAACGTGTGACGAAAGCAAAACGCACGTACACTTCGTCTGTCTGTGTGTGTCTGTCTCTCTGTGTGTGTATGTGTGTATGGGGGAGCGGTAGTGTAGCGGTTAGCGCTACGCTGCGCTATGAACCTGGCGACCCGGGTTCGATTCCCGCTCACGGCCAACACCAGTGACGATTATCTGAACCGGTCCCGGGCCTCCCCTAGGTCGACTCGGCCTCAAATGAGTACCTGGTGCGGTGTGTAAACATCGCCACTAGGGAGACAAAGGCGGTCGGGCGTGGTGCTGGCCACCCACCCCCTCGTGTACCGTTACCGGCCTTCATAGGTGCTCGCTAACAGCACTTGCCCCTACAGTCTGTTAAGGCTATACGGGGGATCTTTGTCTTTGTGTGTGTATGTGGGGGTGGGGGGGCGGTGGGCTCAAGGTGCACATGGCCTGGCACCAGCGGTGGTGTCCCGGTCGGCGCTACGAACCCGGCGACCCGAGTTCGATTCCCGCTCACGACCAACACGCGCAGTGACGGTTATCCGAGCCGGGTCCTGGGCCTCCCCTAGGTCGACTGAGCCTCAAATGGGTACCTGGTGCGGTGTAGTGTAGTAAACATCGCTGGCACTGGGGGGAGACAAAGGCGGCCGGGCGTGGTGCTGGTGGCCACCCACCCCACCCTCGTAGCGCCGTTGCCGGTAGCCTTCACAGGCGCTGCTGCTCGCCAACAGCAGCACTTGCCCCTACAGTCTGCTAAAGGCCACATGGGGGAGCTTTGCCTTTGGCGTGTCGTCGTCCGTCGTCGTCGTTGTCGTCGTTGTCTGGGATTCTGCTGTCGTTTTTGCGCCCTCTGCGGCCGTCTGGAACGCTCTTCCCGTCCGCGCGCTTTTATTTCATCGTCGAGATTGACGGAGACGTTTTTGCTTGCGGGACTTGGGTCCGTTGCGTCCGGCTTGTCGTCCTTCGATTTCGCACCGTTCGGGCCACGTAGGGCGCGAGAGAAGTCCAGCGTCCACGCGTGCGCCGCCCCGCGGAGATTGCCTTTCGGTGTCGACAGATCGTCGGGTGAAGCCACGTGCGCTTGTGCGAATCGGCGGCCCGCGTAGTTTTCTTCGTGTTTATCTGTCGCAGTGACTTTTAAGACCCCACCCACCCACCCACCCACCCACCCCCTCCCCTTGTTGTTGTTGTTGTTGTTGAGTTGCTGACTCCACCTCCGCCCTCCCTCCCGAGTTCATCAGATAAATCATTTTCTCCTCCTCCTCCTCCTGCTGTCTAAACACCGATTCGGGTTCTGCGTGGCGTTCCCCGGCAAGAGACGACCCACCTCCCCCCCCTCCACCAGCCGCTGCCACAAACGCCGGTCGACGGCCCGTCGCCGGTTCTTGTGCCTCCCGCGTAGGTCGACTCGGGCCGCAAATGGTCACCCGGCGCGCCGGTATTGCAGTAAAAAAACATCGCCGGCTTGGCAGAGGCAATAGGCGGGGCCGGGGAGGGGGGCCGGGGGCGCCGGGGACGCCGGGGACGCCGGGGACGCCGGCAACCCTCGCGCTTGGCGTGCCACGGTGTCGGCCCTTCGTGGGGGGGGGGGGGGGGTTTGTGTGTGGCGTTCAAAGGGTTGATTAGCCCCACGTCGCATCGCTCGCTCGCCCCTCCGCTCGCTCGCTCGCTCGCTCGCCCCTGCGCTGACTCCCTCGCTCACTCCACTGACTCGCTCATTTCCTCGCTCCTCCAGCGCTCTCTCGCCCGCTCGCCCGCTCGCTCGCTCGCTCGCTCACTCCACTGACTCGCTCACTCCTGCACTCGCTCCCTCACTCCTGCACTAGCTCCCTCACTCCTGCAATCCCCTCGCTCCCCGCAACGAGCGGATTGCCCCGAGACGCTGTCAAGGCTGCGAAGGTGGCGACCGGTGCCGGGCCACCGGTGAGCCGAGGCACCCGACGCCGATGCTTTGAGTCCGTAAACTCCTGGGCGGAAGCCGTGAGGATCTGGCCAAACCTCCGCCATCCCACCGCCCGCCCACCCGCCCGCCCGCCCGCCCGCACACACCACACCTGTGCAGGCCAGTAGACTTCACCCGTTTCGCCCCTGGCGTTTGTTGGGCAGGGAAGTGTCCCTTCAGCAGCATCAGCCGCCACTGCCCCTGCAACGTCTCCCCCCCCCCCCCCCCCACCTCCCCATCACCGCGACCAACGAGGCCTGAATATGAACGGGGAGTGGCCTAAAGAGGAGGGGTGGGGCCTAAAGAGGAAGTGACGGGGCCTAAACAGGAAGGGTCGGGACCTAAAGAGGAAGGGGTGTGGACTAAAGAGGAAGGGGCCGGGCCTAAAGAGGAAGGGGTGTGGCTTAAAGACGAAGTGGCAGGGCCTATATAGGAAGGTTTGGGCCTGAAAGAGGAAGGGGTGTGGCCTAAAGAGGAAGTGGCAGGGCCTAAAGAGGAAGATGTGGAGCCTAAAGAGGAAGGTTTGGGCCCTAAAGAGGCAGATGTGGAGCCTAAAGAGGAAGGTTTGGGCCTGAAAGAGGAAGGGGTGTGGCCTAAAGAGGAAGGGGTGTGGCTTAAAGAGGAAGTGGCGGGGCCTAAAGAGGAAGGGGCCGGGCCTAAAGAGGAAGGGGTGTGGCTTAAAGAGGAAGTGGCGGGGCCTAAAGAGGAAGGGTCGGGACCTAAAGAGGAAGGGGTGTGGCTTAAAGAGGAAGTGGCAGGGCCTAAAGAGGAAGGTTTGGGCCTGAAAGAGGAAGGGTTTGGCCTAAAGAGGAAGATGTGGAGCCTAAAGAGGAAGGTTTGGGCCTGAAAGAGGAAGGGTGTGGCCTAAAGAGGAAGTGGCAGGGCCTAAAGAGGAAGGGGTGTGGCCTAAAGAGGAAGGGGCCGGGCCTAAAGAGGAAGGGGTGTGGCTTAAAGAGGAAGTGGCAGGGCCTAAAGAGGAAGGGGCGGGACCTAAAGAGGAAGGGGTGTGGCTTAAAGACGAAGTGGCAGGGCCTAAAGAGGAAGATGTGGAGCCTAAAGAGGAAGGGGCCGGGCCTAAAGAGGAAGGGGTGTGGCCTAAAGAGTAAGTTGCGGGGCCTAAAGAGGAATGGGCGGGGCCTAAAGAGGAAGTTGCGGGGCCTAAAGAGGAAGTGGCAGGGCCTAAAGAGGAATGGGCGGGGCCTAAAGAGGAAGTGGTGGGGCCTAAAGAGGAAGTGGCAGGGCCTAAAGAGGAAGGGGCGGGACCTAAAGAGGAAGGGGTGTGGCTTAAAGAGGAAGTGGCAGGGCCTAAAGAGGAAGGGGTGGGACCTAAAGAGGAAGGGGTGTGGCCTAAAGAGGAAGTGGCAAGGCCTAAAGAGGAAGGTTTGGGCCTGAAAGAGGAAGGGTTTGGCCTAAAGAGGAAGATGTGGAGCCTAAAGAGGAAGGTTTGGGCCTGAAAGAGGAAGGGGTGTGGCCTAAAGAGGAAGGGGCCGGGCCTAAAGAGGAAGTGGCGGGGCCTAAAGAGGAAGTGGCGGGGCCTAAAGAGGAAGGGGCGGGGGCCTAAAGAGGAAGGGGCGGGGGCCTAAAGAGGAAGGGGTGTGGCTTAAAGAGAAAGAGGTCGGGGCCTAGCCAGGATGGGTTGGTGGGGGGGCCTCCCTGCTGCATCTGTGACACATCGAACCTGCCTCTCAAACCTGCCTGTTGTCTGTTTGCAGTGTGGGGGACAGACCGAGTGGGGAGAGAGCGAGCAACAGAGACTCCCTCCTTGAGCAAAAAAACAAAACCAGCTCCCCCCCCCCACCACCACCAACGCCCCCCCCCCACCACCAACGCCCCCCCCCCCACCACCAACGCCCCCCCACCACCCACCTGCCATCACCACCACCCCCCCCCCCCCCCCCACTTCTTCACTCAAGATCGTTAAACCCTGACCCCCCCATTGACACATCGGAGGAGAAGACAGCGACGGGCACAAATCGTCGTGGGCTTACCCGGAAGAGTTGCGGACGGAGAGCCCAGCGGGCTCTCCCCATCACCTCCTCCTCCTCCTCCTCCCCCCTGCCCAGCCACCGCCACCGCCCAGCCACCGCCACCGCCAATCTGCGGTGGTGTTGGAGAGGTACGGGGAGGCGAGGGTGGTGGGGGGGAGTTTGGGCATCACCGGCGACCGTGTCCCCACCCCCACCCACCGCGGGAGCGACCGTTTCCCGGCTCGGCCTCATTGAAGATTTCCCTCCCTCTTGGATTTGTTTTGTTGTCCGATTTTTTTTATTTTTTTAATTGGAGCGACGAAGACACAAAAAACAAAAAGCCTCCCCCCGGGGGCCGCCGCCCCCCCCCCCACCACCCATCGGCGCCTGGTGACGTCGCTCCCCCTCCCCCTCCCCCCCCCCCCCCCCCTCACGACCTCACCTTTGCGGGAGCGGGAGGTGGGGGAGAGCTTGAGTCCGAGCCCCGACGGGACCCCCCCCCCTCCCCGCCGATCTTCCTCGACGGCACTCCCCGTTTAGGAGCGTCGCAGGGAGGCGGAAGGGGAGGAAGGAGGACGACAGAGCGTTAACCGCGTCCAGTAAAACCAAACCTCGTCCGCCCCTCGGTTCCGAGCCCTTCACGGACGGTCGAATAACAATAATAATAATAATAATACCGCGCCCGACCCTCTCGAACCCCAACGCAGCGAGCGGCTCAACTCCGGTCGGGGCAACTTTCCGTCGGCGCGACTGCGGTCGGGGCAACTCCGGTCGGGGCCTCTCCCGTCGAACGCAACTCCTTCGGCGCAACTCCTTCGACGCCTCTCCCGTCGAACGCAACTCCCGTCGAACGCAACTCCTTCGACGCAACTCCTTCGACACCTCTCCCGTCGAACGCAACTCTTTCGACGCAACTCCTTCGGGGCCTCTCCCGTCGAACGCAACTCCTTCGACGCAACTCCCGTCGAACGCAACTCCTTCGACGCAACTCCCGTCGACGCCTCTCCTTCGACGCCTCTCCCGTCGAACGCAACTCCTCCCCTCGCCGGTTTGCCCCCCACACCCCACACCCCACCCCACCCCCCCCCCCCCGCCCGGCGGTGTTGGCGGGCCAATGCACCGCTACGGGGAGGAGCGGTTCCCCAGGGGCGTCGGTGGGGGGTCGCCCCCCCCCACTGCCGGCAGCCCGCTGGACTCGCGTTTCGCACTGCTGCAGCAGCAGCAGCAGCAAAAGGCGGCGTTCCACTACGCTTCCCCGTCGCGGCATCCCTATCGGGATGCCGCGACGGCCGCCCCGTTGAAGCCGCCGCCGCCGCCGCCGCCCCCTCTCTCCTCCTCCGCCCCGGCCGCCCCGGCCGCCGCGGCGGCCGTGAACACGTCCAACGCCTCCGAGGTGCTCACGGCGTTCGGGCTCTCGCCCGACGACCTCACGGAGCTGAGCCGCTACCCGTCGGAGCAGCTGACGCCCGAGAACCTGCCGCGCCTGCTGGGGGAGGTCTACGTGCGCAGGCGGCAGCAGCAGCAGCAGCAGCAGCTGCAGCAGCAGCAGCAACAGCAGCAGCAGCAGCAGCAACAGCAGCAGCAGCGCGCCGTCGCCACCGGGCGCCCTGCGGCGGCCGCCCGGACCGAAGGGGCGCCGTCGCTCCGGCCGCCTTCGGCGTTCACGGCGGCCGAGGCGCTGCCGCGGCGGGCGCAGGCGGGCGATGTCCAGGCGGGGCAGTTGGCGCTGCACGTGGTGGACTACGGGCACGGGCGCGGGAGCGGCCCGGGGGAGCGGGCGACGCCCCCGTTGCGGCATTTGCCCGTGCGGCCGCCCCCCCCTTGCCCGCAGCCCCGCCCGCCGTATTCCGGCGACGTCATCGACGGCGGAGGGTACAGGGAGACGCGCGAGGCCGAGTGGCTTCGGGAGCAGCAGCGGGAGCAGCAGCGGGAGCAGCAGCGGGAGCAGCAGCGGGAGCAGCGGGAGCGGCGGCCGCAGCTGGAGCGGCGGGCGCTGCCGCCGCCGCCATACCCTGTCCGCCTGGACGTCGGCGACGCGTCGGCGGGCTGGCGCGGGCCTGCGCGGGACGGCTACGCCGGAGCCTACGCGGAGAGGGTCGAGTTCAAGCGTCCGCCGTTGCCGTCGCCATCGCCGTCGCCGCCGCCGCAGCAGTTCCAGCGGCTGCAGCAGCAGCAGCAGCGGCAGCAGCGGTCGAGCGGCGGTAGCGGCGGCAGCGGCGTGGCAAGCAAGGGCCAGCAGCAGCGCCAGCAGCAGCAGCAGCAGCAGCAGCAGCAGGGGTCGAGCGCGGAGAAGAGGCCGGCCGCGATCGTCGCCTCTCAGTTTCTGCCGTCGATGCCCAAGAGGCCGGATCTCGGCGGCGGGGGCGGCGCTGCCAAGAGCGGCGGCGGCGGCAGAATCGGCGAGGGCGGCGGCAGAGGCGGCGGCGGTAGAAGCGGCGAGGGAGGCGGCAGCGGCGGCAGAAGCGGCAGAGGCGGCGAGGGTAGCGGCGGCAGAAGCGGCGGCGGCGGCAGTAAAAGCGAAGAGGGCGGCGGCCGGAGCGGCGAGGGTCGTGGCAGAAGCGGCGAGGGTAGCGGCAAAAGCGGCGAGCGCAGCGGCAACAGCGGCGAGGGTCGTGGCAGAAGCGGTGAGCGTAGCGGCAAAAGCGGCGAACGTAGTGGTAAAAGCGGCGAGGGTAGCGGCAGAACCGGCGAGGGTAGCGGCAAAAGCGGTGAGGGTCGCGGCAGAAGCGGCGAGGGTAGCGGCAAAAGCGGCGAGGGTAGCGGCAAAAGCGGCGAGGGTCGTGGCAGAAGCGGTGAGCGTAGCGGCAAAAGCGGCGAACGTAGCGGCAAAAGCGGCGAGCGTAGCGGCAAAAGCGGCGAGGGTAGCGGCAAAAGCGGCGAGCGCAGCGGCAAAAGCGGCGCGCGTAGCGGCAAAAGCGGTGAGCGTAGCGGCAAAAGCGGCGAGGGTAGCGGCAGAACCGGCGAGGGTAGGGGCAAAAGCGGTGAGCGTAGTGGCAAAAGCGGTGAGGGTAGCGGCAAAAGCGGTGAGCGTAGCGGCAAAAGCGGCGAGGGTAGCGGCAGAAGCGGGGGCAAGAACGGCGAGGGTAGCGGCAGAAGCGGCGAGGGTAGCGGCAGAAGCGGCGGCAGAAGCCAGGGCGGCGTGGCGAAGCTGGCGCCGCCCGGCTTCGCGAGCCGCCTTGCCCAGGAGCCGCCCCACAGCTTCCTGCTGCGCGACAGGGCGCTCAAGAAGGAGCTGGAGAACTTCTACGGCCGCTACGTTTCCAACGAGCCCCTCCACTGCCACCTGTGCTTCATGCGCTCCACCGGGCTTAAGGTGAGCGGGGCGGCGGAGGCGGGGAGAGGGGGGGGGATGTGTGGGCTAGGGGTGGGTCATGGCTTGGTTTGAAGAGGAGAGGCGGCGGAGGCGGTGGAGAGAGGGGGGGTGTGTGTGGGCTAGGGGTGGGTCATGGCTTGGTTTGAAGAGGAGAGGCGGCGGAGGCGGGGAGAGAGGGGGGGATGTGTGGGCTAGGGGTGGGTCATGGCTTGGTTTGAAGAGGAGAGGCGGTGGAGGAGGCGGGGAGAGGGGGGGGATGTGTGGGCTAGGGGTGGGTCATGGCTTGGTTTGAAGAGGAGAGGCGGTGGAGACGGGGAGAGGGGGGGGATGTGTGGGCTAGGGGTGGGTCATGGCTTGGTTTGAAGAGGAGAGGCGGCGGAGGCGGTGGAGGCGGGGAGAGGGGGGGGGATGTGTGGGCTAGGGGTGGGTCATGGCTTGGTTTGAAGAGGAGAGGCGGTGGAGACGGGGAGAGGGGGGGGATGTGTGGGCTAGGGGTGGGTCATGGCTTGGTTTGAAGAGGAGAGGCGGCGGAGGCGGGGAGAGGGGGGGGGGTGTGTGGGCTAGGGGTGGGTCATGGCTTGGTTTGAAGAGGAGAGGCGGCGGAGGCGGGGAGAGGGGGGGGGATGTGTGGGCTAGGGGTGGGTCATGGCTTGGTTTGAAGAGGAGAGGCGGCGGAGGCGGGGAGAGGGGGGGGATGTGTGGGCTAGGGGTGGGTCATGGCTTGGTTTGAAGAGGAGAGGCGGCGGAGGCGGTGGAGAGAGGGGGGGGTGTGTGTGGGCTAGGGGTGGGTCATGGCTTGGTTTGAAGAGGAGAGGCGGCGGAGGCGGGGAGAGAGGGGGGGGATGTGTGGGCTAGGGGTGGGTCATGGCTTGGTTTGAAGAGGAGAGGCGGTGGAGGAGGCGGGGAGAGGGGGGGGATGTGTGGGCTAGGGGTGGGTCATGGCTTGGTTTGAAGAGGAGAGGCGGTGGAGACGGGGAGAGGGGGGGGATGTGTGGGCTAGGGGTGGGTCATGGCTTGGTTTGAAGAGGAGAGGCGGCGGAGGCGGTGGAGGCGGGGAGAGGGGGGGGGATGTGTGGGCTAGGGGTGGGTCATGGCTTGGTTTGAAGAGGAGAGGCGGTGGAGTCGGGGAGAGGGGGGGGGATGTGTGGGCTAGGGGTGGGTCATGGCTTGGTTTGAAGAGGAGAGGCGGTGGAGGAGGCGGGGAGAGGGGGGGGATGTGTGGGCTAGGGGTGGGTCATGGCTTGGTTTGAAGAGGAGAGGCGGCGGAGGAGGCGGGGAGAGGGGGGGGGGATGTGTGGGCTAGGGGTGGGTCATGGCTTGGTTTGAAGAGGAGAGGCGGCGGAGGCGGCGGAGGCGGGGAGAGGGGGGGGGGATGTGTGGGCTAGGGGTGGGTCATGGCTTGGTTTGAAGAGGAGAGGCGGTGAAGGCGGGGAGAGAGAGGGGGGGGATGTGTGGGCTAGGGGTGGGTCATGGCTTGGTTTGAAGAGGAGAGGCGGCGGAGGCGGGGAGAGGTGGGGGATGTGTGGGCTAGGGGTGGGTCATGGCTTGGTTTGAAGAGGAGAGGCGGCGGAGGAGGCGGCGGAGGCGGCCGCGGTAGTTCAAGGGTCCGTACCGGACCCAGGGCGGGACGGGACAGACGTACGGAGGGCCCTCGCCGCACCGCACACGGTGCGTGGGGGGCACGGTCGCGGGCCCGCGTGGCCGATGGCGAAGACAAAGATGATGACCCCCCACCCACCACCACCACCACCACCACCGACCCCTTCCCACCGGACCCCCCTCCCCATGGTGCCCTGTGAAGGCCCGGCAAAGCGCGAGGGGAGAGGAGGGTTGGGGGCTGCGTGGGCTCACAATCGCCGCACCGGCCAAGTCAACCCCTAGGAGGGGAGGCGGCTTTGGCGCGGGGACGCCGGGATGGGTACGGTGGTTTTTTGGCGGTGGTGGGGGTGGTTTTTGGGTGGGGGGGGGGGGGGGGGAGCCCGGGCTGGTGCCGGTGGATTGACGGCAGCACCGGGGAAGAGCCGGTCACGGTCGCCGTGGCAACCGGGCCCCACCCGTCCACCACTCCGTCATGCTGCGACCTCTTGGCGACCCCCCACGACGAGCCCCCACGACTACCCAAACGGGCCCGGCGCCGCGTGTCCTGTTGGCGGTGGGTGCTGAACAGGAAGAGGCGGGGCTTTGACAGGAAGAGGCGGGGCTTTAACAGGAAGAGGCGGGGCCTCTGCAGGAAGATGCAGGGAGAGGAGGGGGAGGCGTGGCCTGAAAAATGAAGGGCGTGGAGCGGGGAAAAAAAGGAAGAGGTTGGAGGCGTGGTGGTGGGTGGTGGGTGGTGGTGGGTGGTGGTGGGGGGGTGGTGGTGGGGTGGTGGGTGGTGTGGGTGTGGGGGGGGGTGGTGGGTGGTGTGGGTGTGGTGGGGGGGTGGGAAAAGCTGGGGCCGATGGAGGTTGAACTTCTCTACCGCTACACTACCGCTACACTACACTACCACTACACTACCACTACACTACCACTACACTACACTACCGCTACACTACCACTACACTACCGCTACACTACCACTACACTACCACTACCGCTACACTACCGCTACACTACCGCTACACTACACTACCCCTACACTACCACTACTCTACCACTACACTACCACTACACTACACTACCACTACACTACCACTACACTACCACTACCGCTACTCTACAGCTACACTACCGCTACACTACCGCTACACTACCGCTACCGCTACACTACCGCTACACTACCACTACACTACACTACCCCTACACTACCACTACTCTACCACTACACTACCACTACACTACCACTACACTACACTACCACTACACTACCACTACACTACCACTACTCTACAGCTACACTACCACTACACTACCGCTACACTACCACTACACTACCGCTACTCTACCACTACACTACCACTACACTACCGCTACTCTACCACTACACTACCACTACTCTACCACTACACTACCACTACACTACCACTACACTACCACTACCGCTACACTACCACTACACTACCACTACACTACCGCTACACTACCACTACACTACCACTACACTACCACTACACTACCACTACACTGCCACTACACTGCCGCTACACTACCGCTACACTACCGCTACACTACCGCTACACTACCGCTGCACTACCGCTACTCTCCGCTACTCACTCGGCCTGGCCCTACTGACATCGCAACTTCACCCCTGCAGTGAGTGAGTGGGTTGGTAGGGGGGTGGGTGTGTAGGTGAGTGAGTGGGTGGGTGAGCGAGGTGAGTGAGCGAGGTGAGTGAGTGGGTGGGTGAGCGAGGAGAGGTGAGTAAGCGTGGTGAGGTGAGTGAGCGTGGTGAGGTGAGTGAGCGAGGTGAGTGAGCGAGGTGAGTGAGCGAGGTGAGTGAGTGGGTGGGTGAGCGAGGTGAGTGGGTGGGTGAGCGAGGTGAGCGAGGTGAGTGAGCGAGGTGAGTGAGTGGGTGGGTGAGCGAGGTGAGGTGAGTGAGTGAGTGGGTGGGTGGGTGAGCGAGGTGAGGTGAGTGAGTGGGTGGGTGAGCGAGGTGAGGTGAGTGAGTGGGTGGGTGAGCGAGGTGATGTGAGTGAGCGAGGTGAGTGAGTGGGTGGGTGAGCGAGGTGAGGTGAGTGAGTGGGTGGGTGAGTGAGTGAGGTGAGTGAGCGAGGTGAGTGAGCGAGGTGAGTGAGTGGGTGGGTGAGCGAGGTGAGGTGAGTGAGCGAGGTGAGTGAGTGGGTGGGTGAGCGAGGAGAGGTGAGTGAGTGGGTGGGTGAGTGAGTGAGGTGAGTGAGCGAGGTGAGTGAGTGGGTGGGTGAGCGAGGTGAGGTGAGTGAGCGAGGTGAGTGAGTGGGTGGGTGAGCGAGGTGAGCGAGGTGAGTGAGTGGGTGGGTGAGCGAGGTGAGCGAGGTGAGTGGGTGGGTGGGTGAGCGAGGTGAGCGAGGTGAGTGAGCGAGGTGAGGTGAGTGAGTGGGTGGGTGAGCGAGGTGAGTGAGTGGGTGGGTGAGCGAGGTGAGGTGAGTGAGCGAGGTGAGTGAGTGAGCGAGGTGAGCGAGGTGAGTGAGTGGGTGGGTGAGCGAGGTGAGCGAGGTGAGTGGGTGAGTGAGCGAGGTGAGTGAGCGAGCGAGGTGAGTGAGTGGGTGGGTGAGCGAGGTGAGTGGGTGGGTGAGCGAGGAGAGGTGAGTGGGTGGGTGAGCGAGGTGAGGTGAGTGAGCGAGGTGAGTGAGCGAGGTGAGTGAGGTGAGTGAGTGGGTGAGTGAGCGAGGTGAGCGAGGTGAGTGAGTGGGTGGGTGAGCGAGGTGAGCGAGGTGAGTGAGCGAGGTGAGTGAGCGAGCGAGGTGAGTGAGTGGGTGGGTGAGCGAGGTGAGTGAGTGGGTGGGTGAGCGAGGTGAGCGAGGTGAGGTGGGTGAGCGAGGTGAGCGAGGTGAGGTGAGTGAGCGAGGTGAGTGAGCGAGGTGAGCGAGGTGAGGTGAGTGAGCGAGGTGAGGTGAGCGAGCGAGGTGAGTGAGTGGGTGGGTGAGCGAGGTGAGCGAGCGAGGTGAGGTGAGGTGAGTGGGTGGGTGAGCGAGGTGAGTGAGTGGGTGGGTGAGTGAGTGAGTGAGGTGAGTGAGTGAGTGAGGTGAGTGAGGTGAGGTGAGTGGGTGAGTGAGCGAGGTGAGTGAGTGAGCGAGGTGAGTGAGTGAGCGAGGTGAGTGAGTGAGTGAGCGAGTCTGCGTCTAACCCTGGGCCTGCAGCGATTTGTCCGGGGCCGTTCTCTTTGCCCTGTTGCTCGACACTGATCTGAGCCGTGCGATGGGCTCACTGGGTGGTGAGTGTGACTCTCCCTCCCTCCCCTCCCTCCCTCCCCTCCCTCCCTCCCTCCCCTCCCTCCCTCCCTCCCTCCCCTACCTCCCCTCCCTCCCTCTCCTCCCTCCCTCCCTCCCCTCCCTCTCCTCCCTCTCCTCCCTCCCTCCCTCCCTCCCCTCCCTCCCTCCCCCCCTTCCTCCCCTCCCTCCCCTCCCTCCCTCTCCTCTCTCCCTCCCCTCCCTCTCCACCCTCTCCTCCCCTCCCTCTCCTCCCTCCCTCCCTCCCCTCTCCTCCCTCCCTCTCCTCCCTCCCTCCCCTCCCTCCCTCCCCCCCTCCCTCTCCTCCCTCCCTCCCCTCCCTCTCCTCCCTCCCTCCCCTCCCTCCCTCCCTCCCCTACCTCTCCTCCATCCCTCTCCTCCCTCCCCTCCCTCCCCTCCCTCCCCTCCCTCTCCTCCCTCCCTCCCTCCCCTCCCTCCCTCTCCTCCCTCCCTCCCCTCCCTCCCCTCCCTCCCTCCCTCCCTCCCCTACCTCTCCATCCCCTCCCTCTCCTCCCTCCCTCCCCTCACTCTCCTCCCTCCCTCCCCTCCCTCTCCTCCATCCCTCTCCTCCCTCCCTCCCCTCCCTCTCCTCCCTCCTCACAGACTTGGGAGAGCCACGTGAATGGACGCAGGCATGAGCTGCGCTGTGAGCTCTTTAAGGAGCGGTGAGCTCGCTCGCCCAACCACTCACCCAACTCACCCACTCACCAACTCACACACCAACCCACTCACCAACTCGCACACCAACCCACTCACCAACTCACACACCAACTCACACACCAAGTCACACAGCTCGCTCGCCCAACCACTCACCCAACTCACCCACCCACCAACTCGCACACCAACTCACACACCAAGTCACACACCAACTCACACACCAAGTCACACAGCAACTCGCCCAACCACTCACCCAACTCACCCACACACCAACTCACACACCAACTCACTCACCAACTCGCACACCAACCCACTCACCAACTCGCACACCAACTCACACACCAAGTCACACAGCTCGCTCGCCCAACCACTCACCCAACTCACCCACCCACCAACTCGCACACCAACCCACTCACCAACTCACACAGCAACTCGCCCAACCACTCACCCAACTCACCCACTCACCAACTCGCACACCAACTCACACACCAAGTCACACAGCTCGCTCGCCCAACCACTCACCCAACTCACCCACCCACCAACTCGCACACCAACCCACTCACCAACTCGCACACCAACTCACACACCAAGTCACACAGCAACTCGCCCAACCACTCACCCAACTCACCCACTCACCAACTCACACACCAACCCACTCACCAACTCGCCCAACCACTCACCCAACTCACCCACTCACCAATTCACACACCAACTCACACACCAAGTCACACAGCAACTCGCCCAACCACTCACCCAACTCACCCACTTACCAACCCACCCACTTACCAACTCACACACCAACTCACCAAGTCACCCACCAACTCACACACCCACTCACCAACTCACCCACTTACCAACTCACACACCAACTCGCACACCCACTCACACCAACTCACACACCAACTCACACACCAACTCACACACCAACTCACACACCAACTCACCAAGTCAACCACCCACCAACTCACACACCCACTCACCAACCCACCCACTCACCAACTCACCAACTCACACACCAACTCGGATACCAACTCACCAAGTCACACACCCAACCACTCACCAACCCACCCACTCACCAACTCACACACCCACTCACCAACTCACACACCAACTCGCACACCAACTCACCAAGTCACACACCCAACCACTCACCAACCCACCCACTCACCAACTCACACACCCACTCACCAACTCGCCCAACAACTTGCCCAACCACTCGCCCAGCCACTCATCAACCCACCCACTCACCAACCCACCCACTCACCAACTCACACACCCACTCACCAACTCGCCCAACAACTTGCCCAACCACTCGCCCAGCCACTCATCAACCCACCCACTCACCAACTCACACACTCAATAACCAAGTCACACACCCACCAACTCACACACCCACCCACCAACTCACACACCCACTCACCAACCCACCCACCAACTCACCCACCAACCCACCCACCAACTCACACACCCACTCACCAAGTCACACACCCACCCACTCACCAACCCACCCACCCACCAACTCACCCACCCACTCACCAACTCAGACACCAACTCACACACCAACCCACCCACCCACCAACTCACACACCCACTCACCAAGTCACACACCTACTCATCAACTCAGGCACCCACTCACCATCCCACCCACCAACGCACTCACCAACTCACCAACTCACCCACCAACCCACCCATCCACCAACTCACACATCCACCAACTCACACACCCACTCACCAACTCATACACCCAACAACCCACCCACGCACCAACCCACCCACCAACTCACTCACCAACTCACACACCCACTCAACAACTCACACACCCACTCACCAACCCACCCACCCACCAACCCACCCACCCACCCACCAACCCACCCACCAACCCACCCACCCACCCACCTACCAACCCACTCACCAACTCAGACACCCACTCACCAAGTCACACACCCACTCACCAACTCAGACACCCACTCACCAACCCACCCACCCACCAACTCACCCACCCACCAACTCACACACCCACTCACCAACCCACCCACCAACTCACCCACCAACTCACCAACTCACACACCCACTCACACACCCACTCACCAACTCACACACCCACTCACCAACCCACCCACCCAGCAACTCACACACCCACTCACCAATTCGGACACCCACCCACCACCCACCCACCAACTCACACACCCACTCGCCACCCACCAACTCACCCACCGACTCAACCACTCACCGCCCACTCACCAACTCACTCAACCATTCACCCTTCCACCCAACCACTCACCACCTACTCACCAACTTACCCACTCACTCACCCAACCACTCACCCACCCAACCACTCACCCGTTTATCTATCAAGACGTTGAAGCTGTTTGTTTTATTGTTGCAGATTTTTCAAGAATGGAGAATATAAAGGGTAAGTGCTAGAGATGGGGGTCACAGTGCTAGAGATGGGGGAGGTCACAGTGCTAGTGATGGGGGTCACAGTGTTAGAGATGGGGGGGTCACAGTGCTAGAGATGGGGGTCATAGTGTTAGAGATGGGGGGGTCACAGTGCTAGAGATGGGGGGGTCACAGTGTTAGAGATGGGGGTCACAGTGCTAGAGATGGGGGGGTCACAGTGCTAGAGATGGGGGTCAGTGTTAGAGATGGGGGTCACAGTGCTAGAGATGGGGGTCACAGTGTTAGAGATGGGGGTCACAGTGTTAGAGATGGGGGTCACAGTGTTAGAGATGGGGGTCACAGTGTTAGAGATGGGGGTCACAGTGTTAGAGATGGGGGGGTCACAGCGCTAGAGATGGGGGTCACAGTGTTAGAGATGGGGGTCACAGTGCTAGAGATTGGGGGGTCACAGTGCTAGAGATGGGGGTCACAGCGCTAGAGATGGGGGTCACAGCGCTAGAGATGGGGGTCACAGTGTTAGAGATGGGGGTCACAGTGTTAGAGATGGGGGGGTCACAGTGCTAGAGATGGGGGTCACAGTGTTAGAGATGGGGGTCACAGTGTTAGAGATGTGGGGTCACAGCGCTAGAGATGGGGGTCACAGTGTTAGAGATGAGGGTCACAGCACTAGAGATGGGGGTCACAGCGCTAGAGATGGGGGTCACAGTGTTAGAGATGCGGGTCACAGTGCTAGAGATGGGGGCCACCGCGCTAGAGATGGGGGTCACAGCGCTAGAGATGGGGGTCACAGTGCTAGAGATGGGGGTCACAGTGCTAGAGATGGGGGTCACAGTGCTAGAGATGGGGGTCACAGTGTTAGAGATGCGGGTCACAGTGCTAGAGATGGGGGTCACAGCACTAGAGATGGGGGTCACAGCGCTAGAGATGGGGGTCACAGTGCTAGAGATGGGGGTCACAGTGCTAGAGATGGGGGTCACAGTGCTAGAGATGGGGGGTCACAGTGCTAGAGATTGGGGGGTCACAGCGCTAGAGATGGGGGTCACAGCGCTAGAGATTGGGGGGTCACAGCGCTAGAGATTGGGGGGTCACAGCGCTAGAGATGGGGGGGTCACAGTGCTAGAGATGGGGGTCACAGTGCTAGAGATGGGGGTCACAGTGTTAGAGATGGGGGTCACAGTGTTAGAGATGGGGGTCACAGTGTTAGAGATGAGGGTCACAGCACTAGAGATGGGGGTCACAGTGTTAGAGATGAGGGTCACAGCACTAGAGATGGGGGTCACAGCGTTAGAGATGGGGGTCACAGTGCTAGAGATGGGGGTCACAGTGTTAGAGATGAGGGTCACAGCACTAGAGATGGGGGTCACAGCGTTAGAGATGGGGGTCACAGTGTTAGAGATGGGGGTCACAGCGCTAGAGATGGGGGTCACAGTGCTAGAGATGGGGGTCACAGTGCTAGAGATGGGGGTCACAGTGCTAGAGATGGGGGGTCACAGTGCTAGAGATTGGGGGGTCACAGCGCTAGAGATTGGGGGGTCACAGCGCTAGAGATGGGGGGGTCACAGCGCTAGAGATTGGGGGGTCACAGCGCTAGAGATGGGGGGGTCACAGTGCTAGAGATGGGGGTCACAGATCTAGAGATGGGGGTCACAGTGTTAGAGATGGGGGTCACAGTGTTAGAGATGGGGGTCACAGCGCTAGAGATGGGGGTCACAGTGCTAGAGATTGGGGGGTCACAGCGCTAGAGATGGGGGGGTCACAGCGCTAGAGATGGGGGTCACAGCGCTAGAGATTGGGGGGTCACAGCGCTAGAGATGGGGGGGTCAGAGTGCTAGAGATGGGGGTCACAGTGCTAGAGATGGGGGTCACAGAGTTAGAGATGGGGGTCACAGTGTTAGAGATGGGGGTCACAGCGCTAGAGATGGGGGTCACAGTGCTAGAGATTGGGGGGTCACAGCGCTAGAGATGGGGGGGGTCACAGTGCTAGAGATTGGGGGGGGTCTCACAGCGCTAGAGATTGTGGGGGTCTCACAGCGCTAGAGATTGTGGGGGTCTCACAGCAGTAGAGATTGTGGGGGTCTCACAGCGCTAGAGATGGGGGTCACAGCGCTAGAGATGGGGGTCACAGTGTTAGAGATGGGGGTCACAGTGTTAGAGATGGGGGTCACAGTGCTAGAGATGGGGGTCACAGCGCTAGAGATTGTGGGGGTCTCACAGCGCTAGAGATTGTGGGGGTCTCACAGCGCTAGAGATTGGGGGGGGTCTCACAGCGCTAGAGATTGTGGGGGTCTCACAGCACTAGAGATTGTGGGGGTCTCACAGCGCTAGAGATTGTGGGGGTCTCACAGCGCTAGAGATTGGGGGGTCTCACAGCACTAGAGATTGTGGGGGTCTCACAGCGCTAGAGATTGTGGGGGGGGTCTCACAGTGCTAGAGATTGTGGGGGTCTCACAGCACTAGAGATTGGGGGGGGGGGGTCTCACAGCGCTAGAGATTGGGGGGGGTCTCACAGCGCTAGAGATTGGGAGGGGGGTCTCACAGCGCTAGAGATTGTGGGGGTCTCACAGCGCTAGAGATTGGGGGGGGGGGGTCTCACAGCGCTAGAGATTGGGGGGGGGGGTCTCACAGCGCTACGCCTCTCTCTCCCCTCCCCTTCCCCCAGCCTCACTTCCCCCGTAGCTTCTCCCGCACCACCTCCAGCAGCAGCAGCGGCGGCGGCTGCGGCTGCGGCCGCCCCCATCGTCGCGTCACGAGCAGCTCCCCCAGCGGGGACGACGCACGGCGTTGCCTCGGACCCGGCTGGCGGTGGTGGCGGTGGTGGTGGTGGCGGTGGTGGTGGTGGTGGTGGCGGTGGTGGTGGTGGTGGTGGTGGCGGTGGCGGTGGTGGTGGCGGTGCATCGGCCGCTGTGACTGACGAGACGTCGGAGCCTAGGGCAGGTAGCCGCTGCGGTGATGGGCGAATCGTCGTGAGCAGTCGCGTCTGCGTCCGCATCATCGTCGCGACCGCCACCGCCACCACTACCATCATCATCTTCTTAGTGACCAACATCATCATCACCATCACCACCATCACCACCGTCATCATCACCACCATCATCATCTTCTTAGTGACCAACATCAACATCATCACCACTATCATCATCACCACCATCACCACCGTCATCATGATCATCACCAACATCACCACCGTCATCATCACCACCATCATCTTCTTAGTGACCAACATCATCATCACCGTCACCGTCATCATCACCACCATCATCTTCTTCTTAGTGACCACCATCATCACCATAATCACCATCATCATCACCACCATCACCACCGTCATCATCACCACCACCATCATCTTCTTAGTGACCAACATCATCATCACCGTCACCGTCATCATCACCACCATCATCTTCCCCGTGACCACCGTCATCATCATCACCATCATCATCTTCTTAGTGACCAACGTCATCATCATCACCATCACCGTCATCATCACCATCATCATCTTCCCCGTGACCACCGCCACCACCACTACCATCATCATCTTCTTAGTGACCAACATCATCATCATCACCATCACCACCATCACCACCATCATCACCACCATCACCATCATCTTCTTAGTGACCACCGTCAGCATCACCACCATCACCACCATCACCACCGTCATCATCACCACCATCATCATCATCACCATCACCGTCATCATCACCACCATCATCACCACCATCATCATCATCTTCTTAGTGACCACCGTCATCATCATCATCACCACCATCATCTTCTTAGTGACCACCGTCAGCATCACCACCATCACCACCGTCATCATCACCACCATCATCATCTTCTTAGTGACCAACATCATCATCATCATCATCACCGTCATCATCACCACCATCATCTTCTTCTTAGTGACCACCGTCATCATCATCACCACCATCACCACCGTCATCATCATCACCACCATCATCACCGTCATCATCACCACCATCATCACCACCATCATCATCTTCTTAGTGACCACCGTCAGCATCACCACCATCACCACCGTCATCATCACCACCATCATCTTCTTCTTAGTGACCAACATCATCATCATCATCATCACCACCATCATCACCACCATCATCTTCTTAGTGACCACCGTCATCATCATCACCACCATCACCACCGTCATCATCACCACCATCATCATCTTCTCCGTGACCACCGTCATCATCATCACCACTGTCATCATCACCATCATCATCTTCCCCGTGACCACTGTCATCATCACCACCATCACCACCATCATCATCACCACCATCATCATCTTCTCCGTGACCACCGTCATCATCATCACCACTGTCATCATCACCATCATCATCTTCCCCGTGACCACTGTCATCATCACCACCATCACCACCGTCATCATCACCACCATCATCATCTTCTCCGTGACCACCGTCATCATCATCACCATCATCATCTTCTTAGTGACCACCGTGATCATCGTCACCACCATCACCACCGTCATCATCATCATCACCATCATCACCACCGTCATCATCACCACCATCATCTTCTTCTTAGTGACCACCGTCAGCATCACCACCATCACCATCACCACCATCATCTTCCCCGTGACCACTGTCATCATCATCACTATCATCACCACCGTCATCATCACCACCACCATCATCATCTTCTTAGTGACCACCATCATCACCATAATCACCACCATCACCACCATCATCATCATCACCATCATCACCACCATCATCATCTTCTCCGTGACCACCGTCATCATCATCACCATCATCTTCTTAGTGACCACCGTCATCACCACCATCACCACCATCACCACCGTCATCATCATCACCACCATCATCTTCTTAGTGACCACCGTCATCATCATCACCACCATCACCACCGTCATCATCACCACCATCACCACCGTCATCATCACCACCATCATCACCGTCATCATCACCACCATCACCACCGTCATCATCGCCACCATCACCACCGTCATCATCACCACCATCATCATCTTATTCGTGACCACCGTCATCATCATCACCACCATCACCACCATCATCACCACCACCATCATCACCACCATCACCACCACCACCATCATCATCATCACCAGCAGCTTCATCATCATCGCCATCATCATCACCGTCATCTTCAGCGTCATCATCACCATCATCATCACAATAATCATCAGCATCATCAGCAGCTTGACCCCTCCTGAGCGTTGCTCGTTTGGATGTTTTCCAGCTGCGGCGACAGCTGGGGCGACAGCTGGGACGACAGCTGGGGCGACAGCTGCGGCTACAGCTGCGGCGACAGCTGGGGCGACAGCTGGGGCGACAGCTGGGGCGACAGCTGGGGCCACAGCTGGGGCCACAGCTGGGGCCACAGCTGGGGCGACAGCTGGGGCGACAGCTGTGGTTGCTGCACCTTCGCCGCAGCAACCACAGCCAGCCGGGCTGAGAAAGGTGAGCCCAGGTGTCCACAGTGGCCGTGTCGGAGACCCTGGGGTCAACCTGGGGTCAGCCTGGGGTCAGCCTGGGGTCAATCAGGGGTCCCCTGTCTCTCCGTATCTCTCTCTCTCACCTGCCTCTCCCCCGTGTCTCCCCGTGTGTCTCCCCCTGTGTCTCCCCGTGTGGCTCCCCATGTCACCCCACATCTCCCCGTGTGTCTCCCGGTGTATCTCCCCCTGTGTCTCCCCATGTCACCCCACATCTCCCCGCGTGTCTCCCCGCGCGTCTCCCCACGTGTCTCCCCACGTGTCTCCCCAATGTGTCTCCCCATATCTCCCCGTGTGTCTCCCCGTGTGTCTCCCCCTGTGTCTCCCCACGTGTCTCCCCATGTCACCCCACATCTCCCCGCGTGTCTCCCCACGTGTCTCCCCAATGTGTCTCCCCATATCTCCCCGCGTGTCTCCCCGCGTGTCTCCCCACGTATCTCCCCCGTGTGTCTCTCCACGTGTCTCCCCCGTGTGTCTCACTGCGTGTCTCCCCCGTGTGTCTCCCCACGTGTCTCCCCCGTGTGTCTCACTGCGTGTCTCCCCCGCGTGTCTCTCCACGTGTCTCCCCCGTGTGTCTCACTGCGTGTCTCCCCGCGTGTCTCTCCACGTGTCTCCCCCGTGTGTCTCACTGCGTGTCTCCCCATGTCACCCCATATCTCCCCGCGTGTCTCCCCGCGTGTCTCCCCGCGTGTCTCTCCACGTGTCTCCCCCGTGTGTCTCACCGCGTGTCTCCCCGCGTGTCTCTCCACGTGTCACCCCCATGTGTCTCACTGCGTGTCTCTCCACGTGTCACCCCCATGTGTCTCCCCACGTGTCTCCCCCGTGTGTCTCCCCGCAGCGGTCTAGAGTTGTGTGCTTGTCCCAGCTGCCGTGCGAGGAGTCTTACAAGACGATGGACGTGGTGCATCTCGCCTTTCCCTTCGGCAAGGTCACCAAGTTTGTCGTCACCAGGAGGAGGCGCCAGGTGCCAGAGGACACACAGGCACACGGACACACGGCTACACGGACATAGACACACAGACACAGACACACAGACACACAGACACACAGACACACGGGCACACGGCTAGACAGACACACGGCTACACAGACACACGGACACACACACAGACACACACAGACACACGGGCACGTGGACACACAGACACATGGACACACAGACACACGGCTACACAGACACACACACAGACACACACACAGACACACACAGACACATGGCTACACAGACACACGGACACACACACAGACACACAGACACACGGACACAGACACAGACACACGGACACACACAGACACACAGACACACGGCTACACAGACACACAGACACACACACAGACACACGGACACACGGACACACGGCTACACAGACACACACAGACACAC